CAGGCCCTAGAGCAGAAGCACAAGGCTAAGATGAACACAGTGACTGCAGACATGGTAAGTCAGGTGGAGATCAGTCCGTCTTTATCTCACACCTTTCTAGGGCTTTCAAAAGGAGATAGGCACTGGGTACTTACAGGCGGAATTGGTCACTCACCGGTTTCATAGGGCTCCAGTCCTGAAAGGTGCAATCTAGACATGTACTTCCCATTTGTCCCTGGGAAAGGACGAACCTTTGGTACCAGGGTGAAAGGAGGTGCTGCATCTTGACCCACATTCTCTCTCATTCTAGATTGCCCCTGAGTTGGGGTCTGTAACCCTCACACTTTACATGTGATCTCACTTGTAATACAATCACATGCATAGTGAAATATGGAGGGCACAATGAAGTAGGAAAGAGTATACAATTGGATTAAAGTGGGAAGTAGAAACAAAACCTGAAATTTTAGTTGGCCTTTTTGCTTAGCAGAACAATAAAAAAAAGCACACTGCCTTTCTTTCAATTTTTTTTTTTTTTTTTTTTTTTTTTTGCAGCTAAGCTCTGTCCTTGAGATGTTTGTGAGAAATATTTGTGGGATTCTCTAATGATTATTTAAAAGAAATTGATTCTAATGGATGTCAGTTTGTTCCTCTGACTCTCAGTTACATTCCTAGCTTGAAAATCGGTGATAATGGCTGGAGCATCTCCACCCATTTTGCAATATGATGTAACTCTGAGGACAAGAAGCCACGTGCTACAACTGTATGAGGGAAACATGAATCTCAGGGAAAATGGTGAGGCAACAGTTTACTTAAATATTTTTACTTTCGGACTCTGTGCTTCAGAGTCAAGGTTGTCTTTTGTTTAAGTTGTTTGTTTTGTCCCTGTTGGTTGGTAAGTGTTCCAATTAAGCCCAAATTAGGGCTCTGTTTGGGGCTACATTTGATCACTCCGTGAGTTAGCATTCTTCACTGTAGGCTGTTACTATGTGTTAAAGGATGGCTAGAAATGTACTCTTCTCAGTAAGCAACGGCTTGTTAAGGTCAAGCATATCTAGGTCATATGGTTCTTGTTTCTAGTTGTGATTCTGTGTTCCTCTTTCTTTTCTGGGAGAGTAGCATATTTGTTTTTTTATGGTATTCTGTTTTTGTGTCAGGATACCCATCGTAAATATACCCTGGAAGGTTTGCAGGTAGATTAAGAACACCTTGCTGGAAGTGTGAATTAAGTGAATCTCTATTGTGTAAAAATAGAATTGCCATGCTTTCCCTATATGATATCCTTAAGTGGCCCACTGAATCAGTTGACATTTTTTTTAAACTCAGGTCTAATTTTTCAACTCGGGTCTAATGTCACAGGGATTGTTTTTTGACTATGAATAAAATAGAGTTAAAAAAAAAAGAAAGAAAACAAATGGGCAAAGGCTGTCATATTTTCCTTAGACAGTTGTTTTGTTTTTTTCCTCTTTAAAGAACACTAGCAATGCTTAATGACAGTCATATAATCTGCATTTTTCTCAGTTGACACCAACCCATTGGCATGTATTAATGCTAAATAATTTATGCTGAAATTGTAAGTGTTCAACACTGTCTCTGTAAAACTTTCTGAAGTGCCTCTGCCATTAAGTCCCTCACTTGAGGCCTCCCATGTCCTTTCTGGCCAGTTTGCTGGTTAGATTCTTTTCGTCAACTTTGACACCAGCTCAAGTCATCTGGAAAGACAGAACCTTAATTGAGGGATTGCCTCCATCAGACTGTCTGCAGGCAATTCTGTGGGGGACATTTTCTTGTTTAATAATTGATGTGGGAGGGCCCAGGCCACTCTGGAGGGGGCGGGGGGGGGGGGGGGAGTGCCACCAGGTGGTCCTGGGTGGTATAAGAAAGACTGAGCAAGCCCTGAGAACAAACCAGTTAGCTGCATTTCTCCATGACCTCTGCATTGGCTCCCTTCAATGATGGACTGTGGTTTGGACATGTAAACCAAACATACCCTTTCATCCCCAAGTTGGTTTTGGTCATGGTTTTTATCCCAACAATAGGAAACCAAGCTGAAACAGCCAATTTGGCTGTATTTTTCACTACTTGGCCACTCTGGTACATGCAAGACCTTTTATGTAGGAACCCCATTGTTTCTCAAGCACCCCCCCCCCCCCCGACCTCGCCCCCCTTTGGTGACATTGCATTCACTTTTTAAACTTCATGGGTCTGGGGATTACCTTTTGGTAGAAATGAGTATACTGCTTCCTTAGTCAATTCTGTCAGCTTGGAATATTACGGCTTAGATACAACATATCACCAAGACTATTGAGAAAATGCTTGTATCCTTATTTATTAATGCAGGCCTTTAGCACCAGATTGCGCTTACTGAGACATCAGCCTCATAGACTGAGAAACTCTTGGATTCTCAGCCTCTGCAGTGTGAAACAGCATTTGTTTGACTACCCAGACCATATTATGTCAGTCTAATCAATCATCCCTTTAACATATATTTATATTATATGTTATAATATATGCATATATATTATATCCCATCACTTTTGATCCTTTAGAGAACTCTGACTAACATAATGACTGCTTCGTATTTTTGACAACCTACTAGAAACACTGTCTTAGACCTGTTTGGCTGTTGCTCTGGGTAGAATAGTTTGGCAGCCCCAGAGAGATGAATTTCTTTCTTTCTTTCATTATTTATTTATTTATTTATTTATTTATTTATTTATTTATTTATCTATCTATCTATCTTTTTGAGTCAGGGTTTCTCTGTGTAGCTTTGGAGCCTGTCCTGGAACTCACTCTGTGGACTAGGCTGGCCTTGAACTCACAGAGATCCACCTGCCTCTGCCCCCGAGTGTTGGGTTTGGCATGTACCACTACTGCCCAGTTGAGAGATGAATTTCTTATACCTGGGTCCTAACCAGAGTAGAGAAACAAAATATAATGAAGGTAGCATTTGTATCTACATGATGCACTTTATCCCATAGAGCTATTTTCTCACTGTTCTGCCCTTCAGTTAAAAACCTTTATTCAAAGGGCCGGGCGGTGGTGGCGCACGCCTTTAATCCCAGCACTCGGGAGGCAGAGCCAGGCGGATCTCTGTGAGTTCGAGGCCAGCCTGGACTACCAAGTGAGTTCCAGGAAAGGCGCAAAGCTACACAGAGAAACCCTGTCTCGAAAAACCAAAAAAAAAAAAAACCAAAAAAAAAACCCAAAAAAAAAACCTTTATTTAAAGGAATAAAAAAATATATTTTATTCTATAGTTATCCAAATACAAAGTTAAACAACATATTTAATTTAAAGTGTAACTGGCAATGTACAGCAGAACGTTCTACACATAGTTACAGTTTCTTTTGAATTGACTTTCAAGGTGCCTTTTATATACACAGAGAATGTAGACAGATGTCTTCTTTTATCCAGTCTCCACTTAGGAATTGTAGCTACAATTACAAGCGGTAAGGGAGATGTGAATTAGTGGAGGAGATACAGAGGCCTGTGCTGTCCACATATGTAAAACAGGGAACTACCTCCTAATTATTAGTATAAAAATAATGACAGAGAATATTACTTCCTGAATCATACTTTATTGCTTAAAGGGCTGCATTTTGCTTGTTTCCATTCAATGAAAATAGAAACTATCTGAATTTAGAAGTGTAGAGTATTCTAAATCATCTCGGAAGCCTTCTCAGCAATAATCACAGCATTAAATACTTACTAGGGAGTGGTCAGAACCACTGAGACACATTTATCAGGATAAGTGGTTGATTATATGTGCATATATATATGTGTGTGTGTGTTCGTGTGCGTGTGTGTGTGTGTGTGTGTGTGTGTGTGTGTGTGTATCATGTTCAGGAGCCCAAGGTGTAAGGTATATCCTATCCTATCAACTTCAAGGGAAAACCAATTCCCAAGTATGTAAACCCCCAACAAATAGTAGCAGTATGAAAATGAATCAAATGAGAGAAATATAAGCATTTTTTTAGTGTATGGTTATGTTGACAGCAGAGCCCTGACATTTCATTTTAAGCATTACCAGACATGTTTCTTTTTATACAGACATCAAGGATGAAATCCCAGAAAGAGATGAACACTGGAAGAGGATGGTAGATACAAGGTTGTCATTAAAATGGAGACTCGGAGGAAAAAAATCCACACGGAGGAAAAGTGACTCAGACAAAATCTAACAGCTGAGTTCTTTACAGAGATTTATGGAGAAACTTGTACAGAACAAAAAAAGGTGCAAGACATATTAGTAATCCCCATTGTATGGAACTTTTATTGCCCTGGCACAATTCACAGACACTATTTAGCCAGAGTTGTCTACTATTTGCTTTCTCATCAGCCTGATGTTTGATCTGGAATCCCTCTAGAACTAATAGTAAAAGGGAAACATTTCAGAAATTTAGGAAGTTTTAGTTGGCAATCGGGTTTTACTCTTTGCCTACACTGTGTGAGGTTACCCTTCGACTTAGAAGCTAGGGGACTGTTGCTCTTTATTTGACAGCCAACAAGAAACATGGTCTTGGACCTATTTGGCAGCAGTCCTGGGTAGCAGAGTTTGGCAGCCCTAGGGAGATGAATTTCTTAAGCCTGGGACCCGCCCAGAGCTGAGAAGCACCACTCTGGCAGCGGGTACTCTGTTGCTATGAGACAAAGACTAGGAAGGTGAGTGAGGCAGGAAGTCCCGCCTTTTAGCCCCAGTTGGCTTAGACTCCCGCTCGGGGCGCTCACGCCCACCTGCGCCCCCCTCATTGGTTAGCTCCCCGGCGCCTTGCCGCTTCTTTCCAGTTCCTTTCCTTGCCCCACTTTTGTCTCAGGCTACCCTAGGCCCTATTCCCCTACGAGTTCTTCTCCAAGTGGGACGCGGGCGAGCGGGCCTTCCTCTGGGGCCATTGTGTACGGTGGAGGACGTGGACCCGGGGGTAGCGCGGGAGGAGACTCGCGTCCCGCCCATTGGCTCCGCCCGCTGTCCGGCAGAGAGCGGGCTCTCAGGATTGGCCCGGCGACTTGAGGCCCCGCCTTAGCCCCGCCCCGCGCCCTAGTCTCCGGGGATGGCTCAGGGGTGGGGTGGCCAGTGAGTGGTCTCCTCCTCCGGCGGGCGCTGCGGCGGCCTCCCGAGAGTGGCGCGGGACGGCCGGGCGGGCGCGGAGCTGTCTGCACGGTAATTGCCGCGTCCCCGTGTCTCGGTGTCCCGAGATCTCCGTGGCTTCTTCCCCGGAGCTCTCTCTCTTAGGGCGATTCCACAGAGTCCCCGCCCGAGCCACCCCAGCCAGGGCAGCGTGTGTGTGTAGAGTGGGACCCACGATCACGCGTGGCTCGGGAGGGCCGCGGTGACCTGAGCAGAGGAGGGAACGGGGAGCTCCGAGGTTGGACGCTGTTTGCTGGCCCGGGGGCCCTGAAGCTGGGCGCGGGCCATCAGGGAGAGGGGACAGCCCTGGCTTCCAGCTGCTGTCGCCACTACGGGCCTGAGCCAAGTGGGGATTTAAAGAGCAGTCCCTGGCTGGCCCGAGGCCCGGGAGGGAGCGGACTCAGGCTGGTTGCAGCCGGTGGGAGGTGCGTGCGACTGGCGCGGGATCGGGCAAGCTGTGGGGCACCCGGGCCAGGTCTGGGGCTAAGGATACTTTATCCTCGCTGCATTCCGCGTCCCTTTCCGGGACCCTCGAGTGGCAGACGAGAGGCCCGACCCAGGAAGGGGTACAGGCGTCCTGAAACAAAGCTTTGGGTCTTACGATCCCGGGTAGGCAGACTAGGGGCCACCCCAGAAGTGAACTCCGCTGTGCGTGCCCGCCCTTGCCGGGTTCACACCGCTTTTTAAGAAGGGCTTGTTTGTTGGTTCGTTTATTTGGCTCTAGGGAAAAACGACTCACCGCATTGCTTTAAAGAACTATTTGTGTGTCCGCGGCTGCTGGCTTTTGCCGGGGGAAATCCAAGTCCTCCGCCTTTGTTGACAACAGACTTGCCCCTTATGCGTGTGCGGAGCACTTTACATTTATGTAATAACTTGGCGAAATCTAACAGCGTGAAGGAGGCTTCTCAGTGAAGCTCCCAACATGAATTTTAGGGGTTGCGGCTCTGTTACTTTGAATCTGGATTACAACAGAAGGGGGAGGAACATTGAGTTCTTATCTGTTAAAAGTTGTTTTGTTGTTGTTGGTGAGCTGTAGCTGTGTGGAAAACCAGGAGGAAGATGAATCTTTAACTTCTACTGTTGTGAAAGCAAACCTAGCGTTACAGTTCCTAACTTGGAGAATGCAGTTACACCGGGTTACTAAAAAAGTTGAATATGGGACTGTCCGTTTTGTCTCACAATGGTGGAGAATATCACTAGTGGGTACAAGCGAGCTTCTCCAGTTCAGTTTCCTGTTGGGAAAATACTTTATATCCAGCTAACTTTTCTTCTTTCTGAAAATCTACCTTGCAAAAAGGACTAAGATTCCAGATGGCAAATTCTATGAATGGCAGAAATCCTGGTGGTCGAGGAGGAAACCCCCGCAAAGGTCGAATTTTGGGGATTATTGATGCTATTCAGGATGCAGTTGGACCCCCCAAGCAAGCTGCAGCTGATCGCAGGACTGTAGAGAAGACTTGGAAGCTCATGGACAAAGTGGTGAGTTCAGTGTGTGCACAAGGCCTGTCCACCCTGAATGCAGTTATCTCCAGTTTCCATTTATACATATGGTTAATAATGCTCATCATTATGGCAGAGGTTTTTGGATTTGTGTTGGGCCATTTTTCTTCAATTCTGTGTTTGGAAAAGTTGGATTCCAAGCAAAGATTTTTTTTTCCGTTTAACCTTTTGTCTTGCTTTTCAAGGTCCAGAGTTCTTGGATATCACTCAGATATCCGGAGTTTTTACCATTGGCTGCTTTTGGTGGGTGTATGGCTATAGTATGGTTTAGAAGTTTGTTTAGTCTTATGTGGGGTTACTTTTCTACTAGATAACAGAAGGTTAAAAACAGTGAGTGAACCAAAGTCTCAGCTGGAGCACACTTGGGACAGCCACATGTGTGATGTTAAAACATTCTCTGGGGAAAGAACCAGTGTTTTACTTTAGGAGTTTCCATTTTTTCTGTGTCAAGTCATTATCATTAAGAAAGTTTTTTTTTTCTTTTTCTTTACTGTTCGTGGCATCATCATTATGGTTTCTTTCATCTACTATTTCATTTTGAAACAGGGAACCTTTTTTGGGTGTACATTGTTTATTGTGAAAGGAAAATGTATGTTGGAGGTTGTGTGGGCCAGAGAGTGTCAGAAACTTTCTGTGGTTTCTTCTTGTTGCTTTTAGATGAACTCTAGTTTCACAAGAAGAAACCAAACTGGATGTCAGTTCTCAGAACAGTCCAGTTAAAAAGGCAGTGTGAGCACCTCACAGGGCCCTGCTGAAAAGCTAGTTGTGGAAGGAGGCTTGTGAGACAAATGTGGTAGCTTACTTCTTTGCACAAATTCATGCTTTATGATTTTGAAACAGACTTTGCTGCATTTTAGACATTAAAGAAAATGCTCCTCCTTAAGCAAGGATGGGCCAAAGCTTGTTTGAAATCATAGAGTGGCATTTATCTTTGCTTTGGTTTGCTACTAAAGACAAAATTGGATACAAAGAAGCCATGGAGTAGTAGTAACAATACTGGGAGGTGGCACTATTTGCTTTATTTTCATGTATCCTTCTGGAGGCTGTGGATAAGGTAACTAAACCATAGGCCTGTCCTTGGATGGTCACTGGTGTCAAATGCAGCACCAGAATATTTTAACCAGGTGGATAGCATTAGTTTGGGACTTCAGTGTGACCTATTTAAGCTTCTGCCAATTTTTAAAAATTGTTATAGTAAAGTGCTCCAGACAGAATGATGTCATGATGTCAGAACATTGCAACTTGCTGCTTGGGGTCAGGTTTTGGTTTTTAGCCTTGGACACTTAAGAATGAAAAATATGCAGTTGGAAAACTGCATGTATCTGGCAAGCACAATATGAGCTGTCTTTGCTTCTCTATAGAGTCTGCCCTTGAAGGTCATCCTTATTGCCTGAGTCATTAGTTAGTGGTGGGAGAGGAAATTCAAGGTTTGTTCCAGTTCTGTTACATAAGAAGGCAACGAGCGGGTCAGATTTCACAGATGGTCCTTGTCCATACCAGTCCTCAAGATGGTCGGCATCTGTGTGTTTACAATTGAGGACTAGAACATAAAATCACAAAGATTTCTATAAGGAAGTGGTGAGCAATTGTTGCTGTCAAGTCAGTGAAATATTAAAAAAAAAGTGGTATGCATAATTTTGCTCTGTGACCAGTTGTTTACCTACATATTAACTGCTTCGAGTTATTTCACCATGAGTTATAGTCAGTGGATGGTTATTGGACAGTTAAACACCTGCCATTGTTTATTAACCCCTTTGTGGGTTTAAACTGAGCTTCTCCAGTTGAGGAGTTTGACACACAGGGACTTCTCTTACCCCAAGTCTCTACTTAGTGGGATGTGGGTGCCGGTGTTGGCAAAAGTGTGGCATGGCTTTCCCTATTCATCTTCATTCCTTGTCAAAGATGACAATGGGAATGCATTTGTGGGCTTTGTGGAGAAAACTCACGTCATTTGTCCTAAGAGTTTGGCATGTTTATTTCTACCCTTATCGCACAGTAAGAGAAAGGCGCTGAAAATTACTAATCCTGATTGGCAACCTGTTAGTGAAGGTTGTAATGTAGAAGTCTTCCCCAACATGGGCTCATCTTCTCATATTTGACAATGATGAAGGAATGGCTCATAATATCAACATTATGTGACGGTTCTTCAGGAACTTTATTACTAGTACAAAAATATTACCATTTGATGTATTACTTTAGAAAAGTAGCTACGGTAGTATGAATTTACTTTGTGACTAGCAGAATAAAAGTTTTCAGATCTAATAGGTAGGTTGTTAAGCAAAAGTCAGGTCAAAGTGTAAGGTTACAGATTTCTTCATGAAGCCTCTTCCTTTGGGGAGGTCTTCAAGTATTATTTGCAAGTCACTACTAAGTAACATAACTCATTTTAGAGGGGACAGTGAATCAGTCTAGGGCTGTAAAGGACATACCTCGTAAGCGTATAGTTTTATCATTCCTTGCTCTCTAGAACTTAAGATACTCAACTGAGAATTCAATTGCAACTAACTGTTCTGCTTTCCCAGGGCAGGCATTCTTTCCAAGGTCACCAAGAATAGGAGAAAGCAATTGCCCCTTGTGTTCTTTGTTAGATATGTAATGTTTTGTAATCAGTAACGCAGAGTTCACACAGTGCATGCACTGAGAACTTGACTAATGGTGGATCCCAAGGCATCCCCTTTGGCCAGTTTTCTGGTCTTAGCCCTTCCTATGAGTCTAAGAGACTGACCCTAAACCAGCGGGTCAGTGGATGTCTCATTGATACACTGATAGAACTATTCTTGAATACACATACAGGTTTAAATACACACAAAATCAAATGTGGAATTTGTTCCAAAATTGTTACAGGCATGGTTTCCTAAAAACTTAACTGAGGGTCTCTTGTGTGTTACTAAGTGATTATTACTGGGACAGACAAGGTAAGACATAGCACTATCCTGGTCTGTGAATCAGGAGGGCAGTATTAGAATGGGACATATGAGTTGGTAATGGCCATGGGGTATGGAAAGGGTTGGAGTATAGACTCAAACAAAGCACAGTGGAAGCAGAATAGAGGGTACATACCTCATTCTGGACACTGGTTTTCTGTCTGGATTCTGCCTTTTAGGAACAGCATTATTGTACTCCTGTTGGAAATGCTGAAGTGAGGGTAAGGAAATGGTTGCTAATCTGTGTGGTTGGAGTCATAATTTATTAATGTGAGGTTCCTAAATGTGGTTTGCACAGGAGTCTGAGCCAGGTGATGGAAAACAGAAGAAACCATTCATCTTCTAATAGATGCTGAATGCCCTGAGTGTACATGGATGCTCGGGAAATTAGAAAATAATGAATTGATGCTAAAAAGCAAAGCAGCTGAGTACCTGCCTATGCTTTGTCTGGTTGTCCTTGCCATTTGTTTGAAGTTATTGGTATATAAGTGTTAAAAGCACTTAGACAGCGATGATTCCAAGTAGCATTTTCCTGCCTCTTACCCATAGCACGTCACTTAGACTTTAAATAATTTATTCTCTCTGTGTGTGATTTCACCAGAATGAGATTTGAAGTTTGTCAATCAGTGATGCATAGGTTATGCATATAGATAATTTAAAAATAATAGTACTATAAGATTACTTTTCAAAAGTTGAATTTCTTCTCCATCTGAAAAAGATTCTACAAGCTATAAAATACAGTTCCCCTTCCCTGAGTGGTACTGGGTGTGTCATCCGCACTGAGCAGGTGTGCTACCCACCACTGGGCTACATCCCCAAGGTATTTTTGACTCTTTTTTTTCGAGACAAGATCACATTAAGTTGTCAAAATTTTGAATTTACTTTTGTAGCCCAGACAGGCTTTGAACTTGTGGTCTCCTCAGCCTCCAGAATAGCTGGGATGACAACCCTGTATTTCAGACCCGAAGGTTTTGTGTGCAAATTCTGTTTGTTGGTTTTCCAAAGCCTCAATAAAGAGAATAATATTGATTTGAATTATTCTTTTTTTTTTTTTTTTTTTTTTTTTTTTTTGGTTTTTCGAGACAGGGTTTCTCTGTGTAGCTCTGCGCCTTTCCTGGAACTCGCTTTGGAGACTAGGCTGACCTCGAACTCACAGAGATCCGCCTGGCTCTGCCTCCCGAGTGCTGGGATTAAAGGCGTGCGCCACCATCGCCCGGCGATTTGAATTATTCTTGTATTTCGTTTTCTTTCTTGAACTCATTCATTAGCGGAATCCTGGGCCCTATTAAATCTTGATTGGGTATAATAACACACGAGCTGTCAGGGCAGCTTATTACTGAATTAGATTTTGAATCTGTGCTAACATAATTGGTGTGATTCTAAAGTTTGGTACTAGTGACACCTAGGAAAAACTTTATTTGCCATAATGAAAATTTTAAAGGGACCCTGCCAAGAGTTAACTTGGCCTATCCCTGTGATGGAAAACAGACAGATAATGGAAGCTTTAATTGGTTAATTATTTTTTAACTCTTAAAAATTATTTTAACATTTAGATTTTCCTTTCTTTCAAAAGTTGTTTTATATGCTGTCAATTTCTTTACTGATTTTTTTTTTCAAATCTTAGCTATGGTCAGTTATCATTTGTAAATAATTGCATCACACAGTATATTAAATAAGTGCTTTAATATGATGTAATACTATACCTAGTTGTTGGTGGAGGTGACTGCTGCTTGCTGGGGGCAAGAAGTGGGGTGAAAGGGACCTGTCCAAGTGTTCTAGAAGATGGTTTGAACTTGGGGTGGGGGGATGGAAGGGAGGCATAGAGGGAAATTGTTGAGTTAGAGTAAAGTAGAAAAGGATGATAGAAACTTCAATTTCATTAAAGAATTTGGATTCAGTTTATTTGATTGGTGTATAGTTGTTGAAAACTTTTGATCAGGGAGAGAAAAAAATCAAGGCTAGTCTTCATATACTACTCTACTGACTGAAGGTTGGAGTAATGTTAAAGAAGAATGAGAGGAAGAATTAAAAAATGTGGTAAGAAATCCTAAAGAA